AACTTCAGAAAAAAATATATATTCATTGTATTGTCTATACTACATTACAGTATAAGCTGATGTTTAGTGACTGTGTAATTAATCAACCATTCCGTAGATGGCTTTCCCTTGATGGTAGTGATAAAGTGATAGAGGGACTTGCCAGACTTTTCTAAATTCAACATGAATTGCCATTTAAATCTACACATTTAAGTTTGGCTAGAGAACTCTCAGAACACAGAAGCTGCCACAGCAATTTGGCAGTTTTTAGGACAACTTTCTCATTACTTTACCTGGGATGTCTCACTCTCTGTGTGGTCATGAACTCTCCCATATTAAGGGTGAGAACAGGTTAATGGGAACAGAGCAACAGAAGGAAGAAATAGTTCTGATGCTTCTACTTAGTCCAGTTAACCAACTTGGATGGACAGGCCTCAGTTTTCATAATGTGCACATTCTGATTCATTTTTTAAAAAAATAATAGATAATAATAGGACAGACAGATGTACAGTAGATGCAATAGACAAATAAATATGTGGAAAATATAAAAGACAACCTTGGCTTCTTCCAATCATTTGAGATTTTTTGTCTTCATATTAGTATCAGTATGTATCAACAGCTCCAAACCGTTTCTACTCCTTCAATTCCCTGGCACTCCAAGTGTTTTAATCTTTAATTTAACTTGAGAAGTTTCCAACACTTATATTTCCTTACTGCATTAAATGCTTTCTGCCAGGAAAAGGAGATGAAGGACATTTCTAAATTTCAAAGAAAGTTATCGCGTTTTGATTATAACTGCATACGTTTTTGATCAGCTTTTATGAAAAATGCCAAGTTTTAATAGTGACTGACTTCACAGAGATAAATTTCAGATCCTATGCTCCAAACATATATTTCCCATGAACATGACAGGGTTCTGCTAATGCCCATCTTTATATACCCAAATATATATATATATACACACACACACCTGTCTCTATATTGCAAAAATTAAAAATATATTCATCTGTTTATCTCAATTAGCATTCTAATGATGACAACTCATTTTGTTTCCTTCTTATTTTGTTTGCAGGGCCTGGAAAGGGTCCCAGTCAGAAGTACCTCTAGCATGGCTACTGCTCTGTGGTTGATAAGGACAAGGCTGCATTTGAGTGTTTCTGGTCAGGCTGGAGTGCATTGAGTGAGCTCTCCAGGTACCAGGGATGCAGCTGGCAGCAGACATCTTGGCACAAGCTGCAGATCAGCCATGCTACTGGATGGATCTCTTCACCATTGCTCACAACATTCAGCATTATCCTTCTGACAACCACATAACACACAGAGATCAATGCCATTTTACTGCTAGCCTTCTGCTCCTGTATTTTACTTGATTTATTGTGTCTGTAATACAGGAAGGGGGTGCAGATGTTTTTTAATCAGTTGGAGGGCAGAGATGGAGTGCCTCCACTACACAAAGCTGTGCTGCTTTATAAAACAAAGTATGTCAAGTTCCAGAGGACGTGACATTAAATAGCGAAGGTGCAAGAAGGAAAGCTTCTGGTGTCAAAACAAAAATGAAACATATGGCTCACAGTTAAACAGTAAAACCCCTTGCCACAGTCCACTACTACTGCAACACTCTACTTCAGGTCAGACAGTAACGTGAGAAATTCAGGGTGAAGCAGAGGAGCAGAACATCCATCAAAAACCTTTGTACACACAGTGAACTCCCACTAAATTCGGAACCACACATGTCAGCAGACTAGAAACATACACTGGGATCTCCAGTGAACACTTGTCTTCCTATGTTCTTTTAAGCACTCAGTAATTCTTTGGGCTTGAGGCAAGGCTTGCTGGAACAGATTGCCTTCCCATCCTCCCCAGATCAGCTCCTCATATCCCACTTATCTGCCAGTTCAGGATGCAGAAACAGCATGTGTGCACCCACAGGCAGGGCCATAACACAAATCCTTTCCAGTGTCCAGTGGCAAGAGCTACTGGAAGAGCCTAGTGTGATGGAGGGAGCCTCACACAACCACCACTCTGAAGAGTGGCACCAGAGGTGCCACTCTGAGTTGCCTCTGAAGAACACAGCTACAAAGATGGCAAAGTTACTAAAAGAGAATATGTATGAGAAGTAGCTGACATCCCTTGGGTTGATAAGTCCAGAGCAAAGGAGGGGAGACCTCACAGCAGCCCAGGGGAACGGCATGGAGTTGTGTCAGGGATGGTTTGGTGGGGGTTAGGTAAGGGCATGCAGCAGGTGATGGTGGGCATGGAACAGGCTGCTGAGGGTAGTGGGCACAGCCCCAAGCTGCCAGATCTCAAGAAGGATTTGGATAACAGTCTCAGACATAGGGCTTGGTTTTTGGGTTGTCTTGTACAGAACCAAGAGTTGGAGTTGATGACCTTCACATGCTTCTTCATGCCCTGAATCAGTGTGAATATGTCAATCTGTTTCTAGATCCAGCAGTTCACTACGGTAACTGCAAGACCACTGAGACATCCTAGGAGCAATAAATAGTCACAGAATATCCTGAATTGGAAGGGACCCAAAAGGATCATCAAGTCCAACACCTAAATGATTAATAAAAAAAAATAAAAGAATGTCACGAAGGGTAATGTAAGCATTTAAATGAAATGATAAGTTGTGTAAAAGACATTATGGAAAGTATATAGGTGGAATCCTTATGTGAGACTGAACAACATAAAGCACTTTGCTGCTGCAGCAGAGATCGTTATTATATCTGCTCTCAGTGTCTTGTTCATTCAGGAAAAGCTTTAGGAATTTCATTACAAATTACAATGCAGGATGCACTTTAAAAAAAAAAAAAAAATCTTCCACAGAAATGCATAGTTTCAGTTCTAATCTACTCAGTTCTTGCAGTTATCCAAAACGGAAGCTGCCACAGACATTTATTTTTTCACATTTCAGGTATGGAAACAGTAAAGGTATGATATATAAAAACTACCACCCAACATAAAGCTGCACTAGGTCAAAAGGGCTTCGTAAGACAATAATTAGAAACATTATGCTAATCCTATCCTCACAATCTTTTCCTTTCCTTGAATCCTTCTATACTTCAAAATCCCCCCAGAAAATACTCCCAACCCATAGATTAACTCCAAATCACCACATATTTGAAAGATTCTCTTTTTCTCCCCCCCTCCCTTTTTTACACCGTTTCAACTTCTCTTCCGTAACCAAAGGCGTATTTCATGGATTTTGGTGTGCCCTTGAGTCAGAATAGGAATAGAACAGTGAAGAAGTTTGCAAAACAAATGAAGGAACATTATCATGGATTTCAGATATGGAAGACAACTGGTACAGTCAGAGCATTCTAGACTCCAGGTAGCTCTCTATGTTGAAAGGAGTCAGGATTGCAGAACTTAATTTAGAGGCTTATTCTTTCATATGTATGGATGAGCTTCTATTTGAAACAGGTTGTGAAGTTACCTAACTTTGCATGATTGCTCTCTTCTTTCCTGGTGTAAGAGAAGAGAAACTGAGGTAGCTCACTTTTCATACTACTTACTTTAGTGAAAGAACCATTTTGGTTGCTGAAAAACTCTTGTTGCTATGGGCACTGTGAAAGCAGAAATGTTTCTGTGGGCTTAGATAAGGAAAATCTTTGGGGGAAGTGATAATAGAAAAATTCACAGTGTGAGAAGTACACAATAATTCTGTGCCACCTCTGAAATAACCTTGTTTTACTACTGGCAGAATAGAAGCTTTAGCAAAAACTTATAACTGAGGAATCAGCTTTCCTTGGCACTACCCTAGGAAAGATATGGAGACAGACAGATGCCTTCTCTTCTTTGTGCTTATTAGTGCTGAATTTATTCCTTAGTGTAAGGCTTTGCTATGTAGTACAGGATCTCTATCCACAACAAAGACAGAAGCAAATATTAAATACAAATACACTTATATTTTTCCTATTTTTTTTTTTCAGTCAGACATAGTTACTTCCATATAGCAGCTGCATTTACTTTATTAGCCTTCTGGCAAGAATACTACTCAGGAGTAATACCTATTGGTGATTAGAAGGCTGCATATTCTTTAATCTGCACTAGTCATCACCAGCCAAAAACAGTTTTCATTTGAACGACATAATAAATTCCTAATAAAGGCTTCCAAACAATAATTCTTCTTCAGCAAAGACTCGTAGCCCCAAGTAGCTATAGCGCAGCAGCACTGAGGTTAGCACAGCATACTGCTAGGAGAGGTTTGCAGCTGTGGCTTCAGTAAAGTTCAAGGCCTACAATGCTTGAGATGCAATATGAAAAATTGTGATGGATTTAAGGAAAAAAATATTTTCTCTGTGAGGATAGTAGATTGCTGCAAATGGAGCCTTTGTGGAATCTTCATCCCTGCAGATTACAGAACTGACCAGGACTGATTTCACAGGATCATAGAATGGCCAGGGTTGGAAGGGACCTCAAGGATCGTGAATCTCCAACCCCCTGCCATATGCAGGGCCACCAACCTCCCCATTTAATACCAGACCAGGCTGCCCAGGGCCCCATCCATCTCACCTTGAACACCTCCAGGGACAGGGCATCCACAACCTCTCTGGGCAGCCTATACCAGCGCCTCACTAATCTCATTGTAAAGAGTTTCCCCCTGAAATCCAACCTAAAATCTTCCCTCTTCAACCTAAAACCATGTCCCCTTGTCCTGCTGTTATCTACCCTTTCAAACAGTTAACTCCTCTCCTGTTTATAGGCTCCATTTAGGCACTGAAAGGCTGCAATTAGGTCAAATACTGTCTTACTTTGCATAAGACTGCAACGAAACCAAGAAGTTGCACCTTCTGCTGTAGTCAGGAATACAGAACTGATCACTCTCACAACCAGTGCTGATGCATAATTATTTTTATTATCAATAGATAAAAATAAAGTTATGGTTTTTTACTTTGATCTGACCTGTATTACTTAGTTCTGATCCACTCTTAGTCCCAGACTTAGTCAACAGCTTATACCTAAAAGGTTATACGTGCACAGTCAAATAGAAATCTTTAAGCTAAAACTAAGTCACCTACTGAGGATCATATTCAGCAAGGCATCATAACATCATGCTGCAAGGAAACTCTGCACAGATGTAACTTCAGGAGACACCATGCTCAAAAAGAAATTCTGTCTCACAGTCAACTGACACAGAGAAAAACTCAAAGAGCACTTGACTTCTCAATGTTTATGAGGGAGTAAGATGGTGAACTCACTGTTTTTAGGTCAGCGCTTGATTGGCCTCAGCTGTTGAACCAGGTGTCTGCTAACAGTTCTTTCAATCCTCCACACTGAGGCAGATCTGTAGTTGTTAACATGGTTTGGTGAGAGATGGTGTTATAAGTGCAGTTGCTCACTGTTTGCCTGTGCAAGGCCTTGCGTGTTTAATTGTATGGTGTGTGTTATATTTTGTACTTGTTTTGGACTTTGACTGTAGTAGTTTCTGTATTTGTTTCCACACCAGGCATTTAAATTCAGTCTTCTGAATTGCCTATTCTATCCCCTCACTGTGTAAGAACTAGAGAATCCTCTACCCGATTAGATGCCAAAAACCAACAACTTTAGAGTGGCATTAGCCAGTACTTACTGCATAGATTTGACAGTGTGTGCTTTAGTAATTTCATACTATTTTCTTCTTCCTTGAAAATTCTCAAATGTTTTCCTTTCAGAAAGCTGATTTTTGCAGCCAGTGAGTGTATGATGCTCCTGCCAAAGTACACTTATGGAGTAAGTACCTCTATTTGCTAAATGTTACTCCTAAACCCAAGTATATTTAATAAATACATTGGGCTGTGTTTTCTGTCCAGACTGTTCACCTCTATGTGGTTACAGAGTTGCCTGACAGAAACAAATGGATTTGGAGATCTCATTCCCTCAGGTGGGAACTGAAGAACACAAAAATGTCAGGAAAAGGGGAAGAAAAATAGGAAGAAAAAAAAAAAAGGCTGTGGAAGTACAGAAGGGGAAAATGTCTTTGAAATTCCCCAGGGTCTTTCGATCACTCATATTTTTCCTATTGACAGCAATTTTTGTTTTCTATGTATTCAGAAGAAAGAAAAGATGGGTTCTTCCTCTGTGTTGTTCTGGTAAGTTTAAAAAAAAAAGTAATCCTAGGTGATACACAAAGAAAAGAAAAAGTGGAGGAATAAAAAATCGTATGTGGTTGATAAGCAGAGGCAGGAAGAAATTAAGAAAATAATTGGAAAGATAAAAATTAAACCTGAAAATCAATATTGTATAGAAATACAGTGGTAGACAGTTAAGTACTTTTTCTGACTTTCATACTGTTCATTAAACACATATTTCAAAAGCTTCCTAAAATATTTCAGAAAAATATTCCTCATCAAGCAAGTTAATCAAGTATCTGATTCAGTTAATGAAGCTGTTTGAGACTCAACTGTCTTGCCATTCTTCTGATTGTTTTTCTTATGTAAAAAAAGGGGGAAGAAAAACAATCACCTAGAAGTGAAAAATATTCCACAAATTGCACAGGAAGGAGCAAAGAGAGACACTGAGCTAAGAATTTTGAAAAAGAACAGAGAGAAAATAAGAATAATTGGATAGCTGGATCATACCTATGGTCCATCATCCCAAGATTATGTGTAGTGTTTATCTACAAAAGAGTATCAGAAAATGGAAGCATACCATTTCCTTTTAGGTCTTTACTATTTATCAGTCATCTTAAAGTTAGCATTAGGAAGATAGGGTCTTCCTAACTCAGATGTAATTTCAATGTATTTAATCTCACTCTGCATTTCTTTATCACAGGTTTGTTTGTTTTTTTTTTCAGTTTTAGTGCACTAAGGACATACTAGTGTGGGCAACAGTGACAATCAGAATTGTAAAATGACTATAATTTTTTTTTTTTTTTTTTTACATTTTATTTTTACTCTTAAATTACTCTTAATTCTAATTACTCTTAAATCTAAAAAAAAAAAAAGTGCTTAGGCGCATAAAATCAAACAAAATAATAAGAAAATAATCTCCCTATTCCTTTATGACATGTTCAGTTACACTCCCACATGTTGTCACAGTGGCCAACAATATGACAGTTTAAGAAGCTAAGATTACTAAAGAGAGTAGAATTTGATTAAGTGTTTAATACAGTGGTCTGAATGCAACTTCCAGCCAAAGAAATCATTAAAACACAATTATCACTATGCAATAAGGCATCAAGAAGAAACCACATGTTCAGTTTCTAACATTAACTTCATGTGCATCTAAAACTGTGTAAGTAACTAGCTCTGAAAATTAATCTTGACAACTTTGGTTATAAACCCAACATGTGTGAATCCCTATTACATAGAGCAAAGATGGAGAAGAGCAGGTGAGAAACAGAGAGATGAAAGATGTAACACACACTGCCTTCCTAAAGAATGTTTACCATGCCTCAGTTAGTGCCAATACTTAGTAAATTATCTTTGTAATGTTTATATAACAAATGCAAACAGAATCATAGAGTGGCTTGAGTTGGAAAGGACCTCAAAGCTTATCTACTTACAACACCTCTGCCATGGGCAGGGTTGCTGACCTTGTGGTCAATCACAAATCAGGTTGCCCATGGCCCCATTCAGTCTGGCCTTGAACACCTCCATAGCATTCACAACCTCTATATACGATTGTTGAAAACACAAACTGCTCCATTAATCCCATGGATTACTCAGCCAGCAAGACCATGTGTTCACTGAATCAACCAGTCCAAATATTAGGAGCTAAAAAGTCAGGATTATATTGATGAGCATATTGATTTAATAGCCTGTCTTGAGAATAAAGAGCCCAAAAACTGTCAGAGGCATATTTTCTGATTCAGTTATGACTCATGGAATCTTTATTACTATGTTGTATTAACACTGTGTAATGTCTATCGTGATCATATTTCCATTATCAGAAGAGTTGACATACATGAAGACTTTGTGACCTACTGGAGAATCTACCAGACGGCCTTTCAAAGAATAAATGAATGTGAAACTAAGTGTCACTCTAGCATCTTAATTACTGAACTTTTCTTTCTTTATAGCTAAGTCTAATATATAGCCTGCTGAAGTCTTTATCAGATCTCTCTCCATCATGAAAGTGATGTGCAGCTGCAAACCATTTAGTCTGAAAAGTTCCTATATGTTAACTAGAAAGAAATCACTCGCAATCACTAAACAAATCCTATGACTTAAGCTCTCCCAGGATCTTTATGTCAAAGCATCTGCATCTAGGGATCTCTTCAAACACATTAGATCAGAAGCCCAGTGCCCTTCAGATGGCAGTGTGTGAGTACCTGTATCTGTTGCTTCAAAGCCACAATTTGGGACTAGAAATTCATCAGACCGTATAACAGTTGCAGAAATAGAAGTGTTTTGTTGCTTTCTTTGGCTAAATATGCTGTGCCATGGGTGTCAGTGTCATTCTTAGGGCATATCTGTGCCTGCTGGATTCAGTCAATGACCCAGATGTCCTTTTCCTACCTTTTTCCATCACCTTGCTTCCTGTGACTCATACCCAGTTTCTCTGTGTGGTTCACAGTTAACAGGGCATAATGGCCCCCAAACCCTCTGTAACAGTTATTAATAAAGACTTATTCTCATTTATAGTGCACTATCCTTTAATAAATAGCATGGCAGTTGTGATGGAAGGATCCAGACCACCCTAGCAAAAAACGAGTCTCTATTGTCTGTCATTTATTGCTCACAAAGGAAATCAGTCCTTCTTTCTTTCTTGCCCTTGGAGTGATGGGAAATATGCTGAAGCAGTTGTACAGTAGCCTAATTACTTATCACAAATCTCTTAAATGAGTTTATATTCATTAATGTGGCACCTGGGAACAGGGCATTAAATCATCAACAACCTTTTGGTTAATAAAAGGCCTCTAAGCTTGTTAGTTGGAGTATACTTCCCAAACAGAGCTTTACCTCCATGCAAGGCTAATCAGACAGGTCAGTTTTTCTTGCAGAACATTAAAACACTAAATACAAGACTGTAGAGATTGATGTTTAAAAGACAGGTAGACATACAGACAGGGCTGTTTCTTTATTCTGCTGGTATACTTTACCATAAATAAGCTCCACCTACTTCCTTTGGGAATATCTATGATGCTACTTAAGGAGTAAGTAGGCATACCTGAGCTACCTGTAATCCAGGTGGAAGGAATAATGATACTGTAGGGAGACTCGAGGCACAAACTTCATTTCAGTGTAGCTGCTGAGGTATACATGTAGGATTACAAATGTTGCTGAAGGCCTTGTGTTCAGTTACTGCTTATGGCATAGCTCTGCTCTAGCTAGCTTAGGTATGCCTAAACCTTCTACAGCATTGTAGACCTCAGTTGCTGTGTAGGTCTAGCTTGGCTCTCAGTTTGCTCAATCAAATTCCATCACATCCTATAGTTTGCCATGTTTCTGCTTGCTAAAGTAATTAGCATATTTATAGATTGCTTGCCACCCAATAGAAAATCAAGATGAATTTTCTTCAATAATTTCCCCAATGACAATATGAATACATTTAATTTCACATCTCCAATAACATTCCAGAACTCTTACCATGAGTTTCCGTAATTAATATCATACTATAATCTCAGCTCTAAGCTACAGCTGTACCCAAAAATGATTCCAGCTGCCAAGAGTGGTCAAGCATATTGCCATGGCTCAAGCACAATTGTTATCATATTCTTTGAGAGACTGAATTCATTCTTATATAGAATCCTCTTATATAGGAGAACTTCAGTGACAGTTTTCTAAAGATATGTAGCAGTTTCACCGCACTGAAATGAAGTAACTTCTGTTATTCTGCAGTTTGTGATAATCTACTTTTGTGGATATTAAAATACACACTGAGTTAAGGATTTGTCTTCCTTATCAAAACGACAATGTTTATTAGCATGAACAGATATGCCAGACTGGTTTGTGGCAATGTACTTTCTGTCTATATAATGATGTCATCTTTACTCCAGTTATCTGTGACTCAAAAGCTGCAGTGAAGAAAAGAGTAGATATCCTAAAATGTCTGCAACTTCTGTGCATTAATTCAGTTTCTGATGGCACCAAGGGGTGCAGGGGGGAGCAAAACCAGAAGTTAGAATCGTGTGTTCATGTTGTGGCTATCCTTAACAGGATGCTCTTCAAAGACTTATCAAAAAGTTTGACTCCCAGTGTCAGCTTGTAGTTCATTGTCCAAAACAAGCCTGGA